GGTACTGACTTTAAGAATATTGTCATCTTCCAGCCTTTTATTTAATGATTTCTTCGTGTGCTCACAGACTCAAACTACTCCTATCTATGGATCAGTTTAAAATGACTGTAGAATGCGTTTGCACGGATATAGCTAGTCTGTAATGTAGTGGCACAAATGAGGTGGCACTCAAAACCATCGGAAAGGGGTATGTGATTAAATTTGCTAGGCATTCGATCTGATCAAGACAGCCCATAGTCCACTAGTACACATTAATCCGCATCAGTTAATTTGACAAATTGGACTAGGGTGATTCATTGGCATAAGCTATCTGCATTCATTTATGCATTCCGCTTTTCATTTCCACTTTAGCCGATTCGAGTAAGCAAGTGAAAACTTTCACCGCGACTGCAAATTCTCCTACCTCTTCTGTATTTTCCTGATCAGAGATAGTAAAACGGACTTGAACCGATGTAGTAGCCGATAGCCTTGGTTCACCCTTGTCCGTGGCACTGATGATGAGGCCATACCTACCTAGCTCGCGTTTTGTACGCTTCTCAGTAGTCTCACAACGTGAGAGCAGCTCATCCACGGCAACAAGGCTGATCTCACCCGAGCGCGGATCGACCTCGAACCAGGGAGTATCGGACATCAGCGCCGTCTTATTGTCCTCTTGCTTTCTGCCGCTCATAAGGAGCTGGGTATCATTGTCAAAGCATAGTGAATACTCCAGTTCAGAGTTCGGTCCTTTATCCGAATCATTGGCAACGACCTGTAGAACAACTCGAGGAAGGTGTTGAATGTCCCCACAAGTTAGAGAAACCTTGACCTAAAGCAAATTTAACGAAGACCGAATAAGAAGGAAGGCGAGCGAAGCGTTTTGATTAAAAGTGGGGGTTGCCACCATCAAAACGGACGCAAATCCCAACTTGACTCCAAAGGAATATCATTTAAACTATAGCTTTCAGAAATGGCACAACTTTTAACTTTTTAACCCTTCGCCGTATGTGCCTTAGTTTAAGTACATTCTGCCAATTATTTCACTTGCTTACTGTAAAGAATTCTATAGCTGCTGGAGTTGAAAGGAGCTAAAGGATAGCATAAGCCCTGATGTTCTCCACTGATGGTTAAACTAACCCTTCAATTGCTTTGCACCATGAGTGGAACAGAGTAAGCATAACGATCGAAATTCTGGAGTTAAATTGCCTCAGCTTAGACTGCGGAACACTTATTTGTGGATTGAAGGTACTACAATAAGTTAATCAGTTTTTTGCAATAATATATACATTTCGATACATTTCTACGAGACTACATCCAACACATAACTTGGGACTTGATTATGCTAAGTTAAAAGCATATTTGACTTATTAGCTGAAGGGGGAAAATAGGGTCGAATGAGGATGGATTTTGGTGCTTATAAAGGCAAGCAACTCTATGGGAAGCAATCGGGTG